CCTGGTATCCCCTGCAGCTTTCCTCCCCAGGCTGTCCTGGTGCAGGTCAGGTCCATCTCAGGGCAGGTCAGGTCCATATCAGGGCAGATTGGGTTTGTTTCACAGCAAGTCAGACCCATCATCTCTCGGGGACAGGTTGGGTCCGTCATCTCCTGGGAGCAGGTTGGGTCCATCTCCTGGGGCAGTTCAGGCCCATCCCAGGGCAATTCAGGTCCATTCTGGGTTGGGTCCATCTCCTGGGGCAGTTCAGGTCCCTCCTGGGATGAGTCCAAGGGCAGGTTGGGTCCATCTCCTTGGGCAGTTTGGGTCCATCTCCCAAAGCAGTTCAAATCCATCCTGGGACACATCAAGTCCATCCCAGGGCAGGGTGGGTTCCTCCAGCCATGCTTCCCCACCCTGGGTCACATTAGGGTCCACCAGCAGAACACACAGTGGGTAGGGGGATGTGGGACACGGGTGTCACCTCTGTCCGGTGCTGACTTCCCCCAGGCCTGGGAGCAGCTGGAGAAAGCAGAGCATGAGCGGGAGCTGGCGCTGCGCACCGAGCTCATCCGGCAGGAGAAGCTGGAGTCGACCGCAAGGCAGCCATGCGAGAGGCCTGGCTGAGCGAGAACCAGCGCCTGGTGGCCCAGGTAAGGTCAGGAACACCCACCCCTGGGACTGGGACACCCTGTCAGAGCCTCACCGCGGGCTTTGTGCCGGGGCAGGACAACTTTGGCCAGGCCCTGCCAGCAGTAGAGGCGGCCAAGAAGAAGCATGAGGCCATTGAGACAGACACGGCCGCCTACAAGGAGCGGGTGCAGGCCATCGAGGCAGTGGCAAAGGAGCTGGAGGTGGAGGGCTACCATGACATCCAGCGCATCAACGGGCGCAAGGACAACATCCTGCGGCTCTGGGTGCAGCTCCAGGAGCTGTTGGCTGCCCGGCGCAAGCGCCTGGAGATGAACCTCGTCCTGCAGCACCTCTTCCAGGAGATGCTCCATAGCATTGACTGGATGGACGAGGTCAAGGTGAGCTGCGGTCATTGGTTGCCACCGTGGGTGGGGTGTCTTGGTCCCACCAGGCAGGGTGTTAGTGGGAACCCCTTGGGAAGGCAGATGAGATGCTGGGGTGCTGGTGGTGCCTTTTGGGTAGTGCTGGGTGCCATCTGCCGGAGCTGGTGATGGATGACTTCTGACACTGTCCCACAGGTGCCGCTGGCATCACCTGAATCTGGGAAGCACCTTC